TAATTACTCAAATCTTAGATGTTTACTAAGATCCTTCTATTATCTATTGAAACCCACAATAATATTTAAAATATCAGTAAGCTTAATATATATAAAATATATATAAAATCATTATTTATTGGGTACTTTCAATTGGGAGGTGGCTGTCTAACTTAGGAACATTATATTGAAATAATGTTTGTATTTTTTTCCATTGTTGTTTTCAAAAATATATTTTTGATTCTCTTAAAAAGTGAAGTTAAAAAAAAAATATTTATTTTATATTTTCTTTATGAAATTATGAAACTTCATGTAAAAAATGTGTCCCGCATTTTCATGTCACTACCGAATCAGTCTATGTTTTAGTCCATTGGCTGAGACTGAAATTAACTACACCCCTACATGTATGACCAGGAAATATTTGTCTCTCTCTCTCATAGCTACAGGGTGAGTAGATAGGCCCCTTCATTTTGAGGTAAATGTGTTCAAAAGTCTGAAAAATCTGTGTGTAACTCTAAGGAACGTCACTACTGAACACCTTTTTTCTGCAATTACGCACACTTTTTTGGAAGTTATTCCATATAATTTAATTTTTATGTGTGTACAACTGTTCAGAACTGTGCTAGCTAACCATGTGCAGATTAGCATCTTTGAGATAGGTTCAAAAGTATCTAAAATTGTCACTACCGAAACATTTGTTGGAGTTTCGGTAGTGACATCTTTGGTTTTTTGGGTGTTATCCAATAAACTTGTCACTACCGAAACATGTTATCATTGTTTCGGTAATGACAAAAGGGAACACATAATCCTCATATTTGGGGGAAATAAACACAATTTTAGAACAGTTATACAATTTTTTTGTATTTTAGTATGTTTTAGTAGTGTTTTAGTATGCAAGTTAAATTTCTGTAATGTGATGTGGTCGTTACCAAAGCATTACTGTCACTACCGAAAATGTGCAGCCACGACCGAAACATGAGATGTTTTGTCAAAAATAAAGTTTTATGAATTATCAACTAAGATGTTATGATAGTTTTTGGTTCAATGTATAGTCAAACTAATGAATCCTTAACTTTGAAATCAGTATGCTCAACTTTTTGCCTTTTACAAAGAAAAATTGGATTCAAAATACAACAAATCTCATAAATTACACTTGAAATATTGTTTACAATGTAATTGTTATAGATTTACCTCTGAATTTTTTTTTATGAAGTAGCAGAAAAATATATTTACAATGTAGATGTAACAAAATCTTAATAGGTCAATATAACCCTTCTAATTAAATTATTATTACTGTGCTTCGGTAGTGCCAAATTTGGGGAGAGGACAAATATTCCATCTGAAAATACAATATGAGAATTACCTGCGCAATTACTAGAAATGTGTACCTTGGATATTATACAATTTGCCCATATATAAATAATAATTTCTTTTATAATTAATTAATTTATCATTAATGCATTTTTGTATTTACATATAAATAGTTTTTTTATGGTATATTTCTAATATAATTTCACACACACACACACACAAATTTTACATATAGCCAAATCTATTTTTTATTTTCTGGACATTATCCATGGTTCAACATCAGCATCTTTTAGGGGTTGATGCAAAGCTGATTATTCCAGCGTTTTCTAACATAGTGAACCATTCCAGATTGGCCACTGGTTCCTTCGCCCTGACAGTAGATTAGTTATTTCTTACTATCCCTCATATCTGAGAGAAGAATGGTAAAAGAGACACAGGAATGAGTGGAGAGACAGAAACACATATACTCTGGCTAATGTTGAATCAAGAACATGGTACTGAAAATGATATTGGTCTGAAAACCTGATAAACCAGATAAGAGAGGAAGAGAACTAGACGGATGAAAGTGAGGTTTGTTTACAGACTGATGGTATCAATCTCTCCCACTTGGTCTGTTTATGGTTTACCTAGTATTACAGGTACAGCGGCCTTAAGAAATCACAAACCCAGGCCTTATACCAGAATGAGACAGAAGACACCAAATCCTGTCATAAAACATGTAGAGTGGGAAACAGTTTTTCTTCCCTTCTCTACATCTCTAACTCTTTTTTTCTGCCCTTCCCTCTTTTTATATTTATCATTCACTCTATTTCTGTCTGTGGACAGACTGTTTCTCACAGTTATCAGTTGTCAGCTTTCTGGCTTGACATTTCTGAGTGTACAGTTGCCCCTAAGCAATGCCATTTAAACTCTTGCACACACACACATGCACAGACAAACACACAAGATCCAAAAATGTGGGTTACATGCTTAAAATGGTTTAGCTAAATATTATGACCATTAATATGATTATAGAAAACAAAGACAAGGTTCCTGAAGTAAAAATTCTAATTGTTTTATCCATAAAGAAATTATTTTTTACCATTCAAACGTTTGGGGTAGGTAAGATTACAGGTGCATCTCAATAAATTAGAATGTCGTGGAAAAGTTAATTTATTTCAGTAATTCAACTCAAATTGTGAAACTCGTGTATTAAATAAATTCAATGCACACAGACTGAAGTAGTTTAAGTCTTTGGTTCTCTTAATTGTGATGATTTTGGCTCACATTTAACAAAAACCCACCAATTCAAACAAACACACAAACACACAAACAAACATCTCAACAAATTAGAATACTTCATAAGACCAATAAAAAAACATTTTTAGTGAATTGTTGGCCTTCTGGAAAGTATGTTAATTTACTGTACATGTACTCAATACTTGGTAGGGGCTCCTTTTGCTTTAATTACTGCCTCAATTCGGCGTGGCATGGAGGTGATCAGTTTGTGGCACTGCTGAGGTGGTATGGAAGCCCAGGTTTTCACAATTTGAGTTGAATTACTGAAATAAATTAACTTTTCCACGACATTCTAATTTATTGAGATGCACCTGTATTTTTATGTATTTTATGCTTACCAAGGCTGCATTTATTTGATCAAAAATAGAGTTAAAACAGTAATACTATGCAATATTATTAGAATTTAATATAACAGTTTTCTATTTTAATATATTTTTTTTTATGTAATTTATTCCTGTGATGGGAGAACTGAATTTTCAGCATCATTACTCCAGTGTTCAGTGTCACATGATCCTTTAGAAATCATTCTAACATGTTGATTTAGTGTTCAAGAAACATTTCTTATCCTGTCTCTTCGCACTCTTATACTATTTATATATTTGAAAATATTTATGAATATTTATATACAAATATTCTGCAACAAAATTAAACATTTCGGTTATGCAATTTTGTATTTTATTTTTCCTTTTTTTTTTGTTGCTGATTTGCATAATTCATTGTTGCTTCAAATCAAATCAAACCAAAAAAGTGGATAGTCATGTTGGGCTCTATTATGGTAATTAGTTCATCATTAAGGTAGCATTTGCTCACAGAGCACAGAATAACAACCTGCCGTCCCAGATCAATGTTCTCACGGAAGCAGATCCCAGCATAGTCCATAACTGACCAATCAGAGTGAGAAATCATGCAAAGAGCGATCAGGGCGGTTTAACCTTGGGAGCTCAGGAGGGGGTAACACACCTCAACACACACTCTTATCTGCCAAAATCACCCTCATCCTCATCTGATCTTTCATGTGGGTTAAGTACCTCAATGCCTGACGTCCCACGCAAGCAGCAAGAGAAAGTTTGATGGGAGGGCAGACTGCCTTTTCATCAAAAGATGGGAGAAATTCATATGGAAATGAATTGGCAAAAAAAGAAAGAAAAACTACACTTACATATGCAGTTGGAGCTGCATATTTTTGCCTGTGTGGCAAGCTGCTGGTTTAGTTAAAGACTGTAGTTAAAACAGCCACGGAGGAGAGCATGGCTCAGTGAGAAAAGGCAGAGCACAGGCTGAGTCTCTCTATTTAGGCCCTTGGCCACAGTGGGCATTTAATAAGAGAGAATGTTATGTTTTGGGAAATCTAATTTGAGGCTTTTGTTTGTTTTCCTGGCCTTATGTTGAAAAAGCAGACCATTTTTTATGCCTCCCGCTCTCTCGAGACGAGACCGTCCATTGTGAGTTTCTAACAGAAAGTCTTTGTAAACTAAAGCCCTGAGAATCTTTAAGCGTTCAATAAAACGACACTTTTCTGAGCCCTACATTAAATTAGGGACATAATTAATTGCAAGGTTATTTTCCATGTCAGCAAAGCATATGTACGCACACGGTCATATTCAGATTTTCCTCAAAAATATTAGCCGCCATCCTCTGCCTAATTGAGACTTATTCCCTTTAGGGAGGAAGAGGAGGTCGCCCGAGCGTTAATTAATCCTGGTTTTTAAAAGTAAATGACATTCATTAACAGGGACCGGAAACAAATACGATTATTTACATGCCGATAATCTGGATGGTTTCTTCGCTGTTTCTTTAATGTTATGGAACTACCTCTGTGGAGAGGATAAGAATAATCACACCTCCTTTTCCTGTCTTCACTTCCACAACAATTAAAAGTGAGTGAACAGATGGAGCCGTGGCTGTATGCGCATGTTAAGATGTCCTTCATCTTCTCCTTATCTGCCATTACCGCCGCTAAAGACTGATGTTACACACTCAAGTATATAAGTGCATGCAGACAGAGCCGATCCCAATGATGCTAGCAATAAATTAGCGAACTGATACAGCCGCAACAGTCATGTAACTAAGCAAATTAAACTAATAATGCATTGAGATAGACTAAACAGCCATGTCTTGCTTAAAAACCCATTTTATTCCTCATGACAAAACATTGCCATAACGACGGTAAGGTCTTTGTGTGACCTCTTGCTCTCGTTCACACACACACATAGACGTCGCCCACACACAGACGGTTAACAATGAATTTGTTAAGACTGCCTAAGCTTCTGCAAGGAGCAGGGAATTAAATAACAGTGGATTTATTGTGCATCGGCCAACTACTAACAATGGTGCCGGCCACCTAATCAAGATATCGGATCCTTTTCTGAGAATTCAAACTAAAATTATAAACCAAACAGTCGACGGGAGGAGAGTGTGCGTTCAATTTTAATTGCTTTTCGCTGAAACACGTTCCTTCAGATTTTATTTTCGCCACTGAATTTACCTGCAGACACAAGGGCAGAGGTTAAACCTTTAACTGCAGTATTACTGGAAACAAAGCGATCTCATTGAGAAGTTGTTTTGTATTGATGTACGCTGTCCGGTGGGTGATGCAGACTTCTCACCTGTGCTCCATTTGTACGTATGATTAATGCCCTGGGTTAATCCTGGCTCCTATAGATGGCTTATTTCCGGGCTACGATCAAACAGTGCGCTGACAGGCTTTTCAGGAAAGAGCGAAAGAGACGGGCCAGATCAGCCTCTCTCTCTTTCTGTGTCAGTCGGAGAGAGTCAGCTCTGACAGTGTCAGAGGTAGTTTCAAAGACAGGGCCGCCTCATGTCAGGCCACCACAAAGAGAGATAAAACACGAGCCGACGTGTGCTTCGTTTAGGTCCATTCATTAAGCTTTTATGTACAAACCCTCCAGTGGGAATGGATATGGAAGTGAAGTTGAAGATGCCATTTTTTTTTACTTCCTTTCAGTGAGTTATAGATCACCTGGATATGACTGAGTTGGACATTGTGGGACCAATGGTTCTAATATTCATGAATTCTGACTATCTGCAGTATGTTTCTTTCTTTTTGCTCTGTCTGTTCTGGTTCATTCAAGCCAATCATTCATTTTGGCTCAACTACCAGAATGAGCTGCTTGTAAAGAGCAGTTTAGATTTAAGAGGAATAAAACAAATAAGCAAAATGCACAAGCAATATATTACATAAGCACTGAACAATGCCATCGCTAAAAAAATGCAGATCCACTGAATAACGGCTCTCTGCATTTATGTATGCTATGTGTATACAAGTATGACCTTGTTTGACATAAGCCCTATTCCTGCGGGACTAGATTTCCTAGAGGAAGTCAAGTAAAGTTGTTATTTACAGATATACTTTGTGGTTTTGATTCTGCCTGAATCCAATTTCTCTGTGTTTACCAAGCATTTTCCAGCTAACTCAGGGGTTGTCTGATAAATCAAATCACATTAAAATGGCAGCAACTGTGATTGCAGTACATTACTTTTTCACAACACTTTTCGGTTTTAACCTTCATCAAACACTGTAACTAAAGTTACATTCCTTGTTGTGCTCCCTGGTGCACCTACATTATGGATTTAGAAATTTTTGTCAACTTTCTGGGTAAAATAATAGTACTGCTAGCATCCCATTTGATGTAAAAATAAAATAACGTAAAATAATAAAAAAATTAAATATCAATAAGGAGAGTGTGATTATGTATTATATCACATATTAGTGATGCACAATATTAGTATAATATTGATTATTGACCTTTATTACAGTTTTTTAAAATGTATCTTCATTAAATCTTAAAAAAAAAACAATTTAATAATAAAAACAATTTAATAACACTGTTAAATGTAATCTTTAGCACGTCTCAAAATGAATATCCATTTCTCAGAAGTACATAATGTAGTGATGCTTAAACTCACTTGTATCATTTAAAATGATTAATTTTAATGTGCTTTTTTTTTTAAATAGAGAACAATTTTAATACTGGCCATAACACAGAAATATTTATTGGCCAATCAGTATTTGCCAGAATTTTATTATCAGTGCATCTCTAACATATACAAGTCCTTTTTATTTTAGTGGATTTTGTGATGCACACCCACATCTAGTCAAAAGACACCCCCGCTTTAGCAAAAACTAGAGTTCCCATTCCCATCTGAATCAGTACATCAAATCACAGCCTTCGTCTCTAAACTGTAACTCAAATGTCATTTGGAAAACTAACACCATCCAAACACTTAAACACAAATAAAGTGCCAAATGTATGTCAGCCCCACGTGACCACAGCCCTCTAGTTGTGTTAGGCAACAGGTCACAGCCCGTGAAAACTGAGACGGTGACCATTGTTTCACCTGCCACTGATCTTTGTCCTACTAAGTACAATGATTAAGGTATCAAACCTGTGGGAATGTGACAAAAGGATGCTCCTACAGACAGGAACATGTGTCTAGGCCCACATCAGCCCCCAGGGTAGGGTGCGGGGTTCGAGACGGGGAGAGCCCGGCCGGCGGCCATTTTCGATCCAACGAACGGGGTATCGGGTGACGGCCACCGATGGCCCTGCCACCTCAACTCCAGCCCAAAGCACCCTGGCATCTCCTCCCATAGATCTGCTTACACGGCCCAGACAAAAGAGCCACACAAAGACCCAGCCAAGCTCAGGTGAGAGAAAACTCGGCCGGATCATTGAGTTACTTGTATTCAATACACCCTCTCCAGGCTGGCGTGCGTTTACAAGCACTTACTGTGGAGACTCGATGATAGACGCAGTGGTTAAGAAGCATTAGATGAGCAGCAAGCAGTTATAGCCATGGATCCCTTACATGACTTACAATAGCTATGGTTTTGAGTGACAGTGATGACATTGGTCGTGAGACTCATGTTGTTTCTCTTGCCTGTGCCGGTTTAGCAGGACTTTGCCGAGTCAAAACCTTCCTGCGCTGATAAAAATGGGTGTGCACCATCCATCCTGACCTCTTCGATTCCAAATCGAACTACTTATCAGCCAGATCAAAGACGCTCACCGCTGATGTACATTTAACCTTACCCAGGTCCTCCCAGATCATGTATAAATATTAATGATAATAAAGACTCACACCCTTCCTGTGTCAGCCAATTACACCATGTATTGATCTGCGACTCTCTTGGCCAATTAAAACGCAGCCGTCGTAATGCGTTTAGGCACTTCAAAGGAAAGCATCATTGATTTGTTTCTGGATCTTAGTGTTTACCGTTAGCAGAAGGGGAAAACGGAGAAAACATTTTATTCAGCAGGTTGGAGAGGAAGTACTCAGACCCAGATGCTAGTTCGACTTAATACGGTCAACTCCTTCCTGCTGGCTTAAAGAACACCTAGACCCGACCACCAACACATCAAACAGCATAAGAAAGATGAGGCTGGACAATCTAAGCAGTTAACATAATAAGGGCTACAGGGCTTTCCAAGGGCTAAATTCAGAATCTTTAATAAAATATGGAGCAAATAAATATCCAGCATATTAATAAAATAACCTCTGATGCAAATGGGATTTTTTTTTGGCCTGGATTAATGTAAGCTAATGATTTTGTGTCTTTATTTTATATTTAAAATATACATATTTAAATCTGCAATAAAGACATCAACTCATTAATTTGAATGTATTTTACTCTATATAAAAATATATTAATTTATATATTTTTAAAAATATATAATTTACACATGTAAATTTGTCATTATATACTACAAATATTGGTGGCTGTATTATGACAAATATATTATGAAAAAAATCGCCGGTGACGTCCCTTATTTTTAAGTCGATTTGGAAGTAAGTGTCTTCTAAATTAATACATGTAAATGAATGAATGAATTAATTAATTAATTAATGTTTTAAAATGGATGTCAAACTTCCAGTCTGGTCTTCTGATTCTTTAAAGGGGTGGTTGACTGGTTTTTTTCTAGGCTTGGTTGTGTTTATGGGGTGCAGTCTAACATGTGTTTATGCTTCGTTTTTAAAAAAACGCATTATTTTTCACATAATTTACCTTTATTCCACACCGATCTGTCCCTTCTCTGAGAATCCATTAGAATCGTTAGAAGACAGAATCGCGATTCATATATGAACAGATTTTTACGTGCACCCCTAGTTTTCTCTTCCTCTTCTCTAAAGCAGTGCAGCATGGCCTCGCCCCCTTTGTTGCGTGTTCCCGGGGGCGGGGTTTACCTGGGTTCGTGACGTAACAGACCTGGGAAGAAGCTCGTTGTAGTCCCTTACCAGCACTTTTTGTAGGCATTAAACTGCCAGAATTTTAAAAGACGATATCTCCGTTTGCATTGAACTTTCAGCGCTGCAACTTTGCAGATATTGTTTATGCTCAAACAGCAACATTACACACTAACTAACGTTAAAAAAGTGAAATCGCAATCAACCACCCCTTTAACTCAGATCAACGCCAGCAGTCAACTGTAACAAGCAGAACACACATTCATTAGTGGCCTCATGTAAACACTAATAGTGCTGGGGACCAACAAAAATTCTCTCTTTGGGATCACAACCACAGTCAAGAGGGAGGTGGTGTTGGAAATCCCCAGTGTAAATTTTGTGCTGAGACCAGAACAGAATAGCCATCAAGAGATTAAAACAGAAAGGAGACTGAAGTATAAAAAGAGTCGGAAAACTGTTGAAAGCTAACGACCACAGATTAAACGCTGAATGATTTTATGAGCAAAAAAGTTAATCTCCATATGGGTTGTGTCATCCACTACTTTAGAGGAAAACCATACACTGAATAGATCAGTAAAATCATTCTGAACCAGAAAAAATGTACTCGTTCTTTTAAAGATCTTTTGAAATTGCTGTACTCAGTTTTTACTTCTGTGTAATTTCCACTTACTTTCTCATAGCACTACAGAAGACCTCAAAGCTAACAGTCATGGATTAATAGCCACAAAAGTCCAACTTTAAATTAAATAATAGAGAGATACTTGTAAATCAGAGCCATTACTTGCAGGGTAGACCGAAGATGCAAAACAATGGCATGCGTCTTGGGCCATTATACGCTGGTCTGGGATTCTCTCAATGTTGCGGGCTTGCAGTGGACCGGTCCTCACTGCTCTTTGTACTGGCCTGTGAGGAAGGGTCATCACAAAGACCCCGTTCAGGACACCACAATGCAGCGCAACTTAGCGGCGTAGCCTTGGTCTGCTCATCATCCAGGCACAGCTAGTATGAGCTTATTGAATTGAGTAGAGACCCTGGTCCCACAAAGATAAACCTCACAAAGAAGCCACAACTAAATCAAACAACTGAAGACATAACGACGAGAAGGAAAACAACTCGAGAGCGAAGGAACGAGGTGAATAGGAACCTTGAGGTTTCCGGTTACAATATACCAATGCCGGAAAACAGGAGGGCAACGTTACATGGCGTTAATAAATGAAGCCTTAAAGTGGGTAAAAGCGGCTCTGATTGGTGCTGGTAAGATGGGTCAGCACTTCCAGTGTCAGAACTACAGTGAGGTGTCCTGAGTGAAGAGAGGTGAAGGGAGCACACAGACAATCCATCCATTGATTGATTACTGGCAGGAGACAATGCGTGCTGCTTTCACTCTCTGGATGGGAGTCCAAGGCTGGGGCATCTAGTGTGGAAATAACCAAAACATACACTCAAGCATTTCTACTTGACTAAAAGAAAAGCACAGAGTGAAAGCAAAATAAACCAAAGGAATATGCCCTAGTAAGTATGATGACCAAAGGCTACAATATTACACACACAGACATACACAAATACTCGTGTTAAGATTTTTTTAATCAAATATGTGCTCGACGAATATTAAAGTCGTGTTTATGAAAACGCATTAGCAATGTCCATAATGCATTCTTAATGCTTTCATAAAAAACTTCTTATGGTAAAAAAGGAATTGAGATTCAAAATCCAATTAAATTTTAATTGAGGTATCAAACAAGACTGCAATTCGAATTTAAAGGGGTCATATGATGCGATTACAATTTTTCCTTTCTCTTTGCTATCTTAAAATGAACTAAAAATTTTAATAAATTCATATGATTAATTTTTAAGGACAAAACGTATGGGCTTAAGGTAGTCATAATAGAAAGACGATGAAAGAAAGAATGATAGAGTCACAGGCAAATTAGACAGAATAGAAGATAGATTGATAAATAGACCGATCAAGATCAACTGATAGATCGAACTATAGACCGACTGATAGATAGAACGATAGAAAAAGATAGACAGATATACAGCAGACAGACAGAATGAGTGAGTTCTTTTCTCGAACAACATGCACAATATAACCAAGAACATGTATTTAGAAAGTAAATAGGGTCTATTCTGATTTGACTGATGTGACAGAACATTAACAGAGGACAAAATGTCTCTTTAGACTTTAGATACTCATATTACACTGTTTGTTCTTGGGACGCCTTGCATTTGCTCTGTGCTTCATGCGCTACCAAAATCTATAATGAAAGATTTGTGAAAGGAAAGCAGTGTTTAAGATGGTTTATGTGAAGCCTAAAATGCTTGACCACAGGGCAGTTTTTAGACAGGACTTTACGCATCCACATCTTATTAAATAAAGCTTAAGTCCACCAGCGAGGTTGGCTTAAAACGCAGGCACAGAACCTCTCTGTGTCTGCCATTCATACAAGCAAACAGTCTGGCAACGTCAGAAAAAATGTCTCCAGAAAGTGCACGCTCACATGAGTGTGATGAGCAGGTATGGACTCAGGTCAGCTGAGGTTTGGGATTTGAACCCCATCAGCAAATAGGCTGGGAAAGTGACACAGGCCTGCCAGGCCAATGCGGCTAATGTCCTGACAACCTCCTCATCTTGTCAACGTTAGCCCTGGCGCCATCACCGCTGACACTTCCTGA